GCAGGACACTGATGTGGTGGCACGTGGGTGGTGGTAAGTCAGTGGCCGGCGGATCCAGAACTTTTCATAAGGGGGGGCCCGCTCCAGTCATGCTTCAGTGACTCCCTATATAATCAACCAAATTTTTCCCACAAAAGGGGGGGGGGGCCGCCCCCCCCCTGGATCTGCCTATGTAAGTTTATAACCGCCGTTACAGTAAACCCCTCTCAACCCACCAAATGCTTGCTTGAAACACAAGTAAAATGTAAGCAGGTATTTATGTCCTTTGCTTTTATTCCACACCAAAGATGAAGAAATTTATGATAAAGTTATAATGGTATATTAGTCTGTACATTGTATAAGCCTAAAAATTAAAGGGACGAAAGTATGTAGTAACTATTGTTTGTCGTGATTTAAACACGATAATAACGTTGCTTTCCCCTTTATCTTATGAGCCGTATTGAACAGGACAGACTACCCCAAACACTCTGAAACTTTTCAAGTACTTTCTATATGCTCATGTGTATTATCTTGTTAGCATAGTTTTGTACTTGGACAGATAATCAGAATGGTCAACAATCAAGTATTGACAATGTTAATTGGTCACGTTTGTTTGAACTACCAAAAGGTAATTTTTAAATTTACACTTGTACAATCCAATGTCAATGTTACATACAATCAGTCATTTTTGTAACACAAGGGTTACAAATAAGAAAATACTAAATAAAATATGCAAATGTATAATTTAGTTCCATAACTGTATGAAGCACATAAGACTTAAATATATCTACTGGGTGTATCTGTCTGTCTTTTGTCCAAGATAGTTGGCAGATATATAGGAATAAAAAGAGATGTAAGGTTATTGTAACACACCTTTGAGAAAGTTATTCAAACAATAATAACAAAAACACAACACAACACAACACATCTAGATATTCCAAGTTCTAAATCATTTTTTTTCAAAGTGGTGAAGATCAAAAGATCTGCCATTAACCATGTTAACACCAGATTCTCCCAATATAAACGCATATGCTTCTTTTACCTGTGTATATATGTATTAAAAGAAATACCAATGAAAATCTTAATTAAAATAAATGTTTAAAGATTAAACTTTTAATTGTTCAAATAAGAAGAAGATTTTATGGGGGAAGGGGGATGATTCACAGAATCCCCTGGCCTACTCCCTTTAGGAATTATATATAGAGAGAGACTTTTTACAAGTCTAGTCTCACTTTTTTTTCAGGATCCTGGACCCATATCTGACAATTATTGCAACTTTATTTACTTTGCCTTTTTTTTCCTGCAATTATTTTCCTAAGCTGATTGGATAAAATACCATTTATTATGGTGACAATTAAGGATAATCAGGGGCTGATCCAGCCATTTTCAAAAGGGGGAGGGTCCCAACACAGGATAAAAGGGGGGTTCCAATTATGTTTCCCCATTTAAATGCATTGATCATTCAAAAAAAGGGGGGTTTCATGTGAAAATAAATTTTTTAAAAGTAAAATAAGATTTTCAATGGAATATATGTCTTACAAGGTATTAGATGTTAATAAACAAGTTTTAATTTTGATGTTAATTTTTTTCAACTTGGACACAATTAACTTTTTTTCATGTGAATTTCACATGAAAAATTTAACGTAAAATTCACGTGAAAAATTTAACTTGAATTCACATCAACAAAATTTTCCTGTGTAACACATGCGTTACACATGCGTTTGACTATACATGTGTTACACATGCAAATATCGCATGTGTCACATGCGTTTTCCAACACATGCGTGACACAGGTGTTTTTCTGACACATGCGATTCACATGCGTGTATTACGCATGTGAACGCATGTGTACCACGCATGATTCACATGCGTGGCAAGAAACATGTGTATTATGCATGTGACACACCTGTGACACATGCGTTTTAAGGTACATGCGTGACACATGTGTGGCATTTTTGCCCTAGTATTGGTGTCGGTATCGGTATCGACCCGGAACTTGCTAATTATTGGTAATATTAATTATGTTGAAAACAAAATGGTCTGGAATGGTGTAATTTTTAACCAACACCATTGTCCTATATTAGTTATAAATAAAGTTGAATTCTTTGATTCGTCGTTTTACCCCATGCCGGCTAACACATTGGACCTCGTTATTTTAGTATTATAGATATAACAATTTGAATAATTTAAATAATTTGACAATTTTAGGGGCCACATTATAGCTTTAATCATGCTATTATTCAATTGCATACCTCGGATATTTGGGAACAAGTGCGTAAACAAGATGAATTTTATATTTCTGCTTTCCCTAATCACCAAAATGTGTTGTTCATGTTGTTGTCTGAAATAATATTGGATCATGGAATGTGCTTACGGTGCCAGATAATTGATGTTGATACGGCTAGTTATACTATTCTATGTGATCAAAATAGAAATTATATTGTCAAGTAAAATTATGACGATAGCGACCAAACTATAGTTTATCTTAAAATAAACCCTTTCATAACATATTGAACGCCGACTGGTACTGGGTGGAAATCCTAGATATGTGTCTGCATTTGATCAATACTCTGTCCTCTAAACATATATAGTACGAGACATCTATTCATCTGAATATACATACCTATATCAATAGTTGCCGACTCTTACATTTTGGCGTCGAGGGCTCCAAAAATTACTAAGGATTTTTTTGAGCGGTCTTAGATTTTTACCGTATCAGTCGTTCGATCTTTAAATTTTTCTGATTTTTGTCCAATGCCATATTGTAACATTTTGCCACCGTTTGTCAGCCTTTGTGATGTGGTACAGGAACATATAAAATGTCAATGGGTTAAACATGAGTGTTGGCATCCAACCCCCTATCACCCCTAATACATATGTTCTGAATTGGTTGAAGGATTTGAATATTGATAAAATACTGTTACCATCTAATTTAAAACTCAAAATTTTAAATTCCATTGTATTGTTTGTATGACATATAAAACGTCAAGTATTCTCAATATGCTTTTCAGCATTATTCAGCGATAAGTGATGCATCTTAAAACCAAAAATGCACATAGAAGACAGCATTGATACAGTACATTTTTACAAACACGTGACAATTATAAGATTGATCGGGTTGTGAATATATGCCAAAATGGATCTACCATATTTAGTTTAATGACGTCATAAACACGACCTTTTGCAATGCCAAAATATTGACCGGATGTAGGCCCATAAGTGTTCATAACTGTATAGTAATACATATTTTGTATTGTTTAATTTATTAATAACAAAATTAATGTTAGCACAGATGAACACAATTTGCAAAGATTTCATTACCAGGTTAAATAAATAACCGTTTAGAAAAAGTTTATTCAAAAGATCATTTAGTTTACATTGATCATATCAATATTGACGTGCTCTATACACAACATCACTACCGTCGTGAAAAAAATATGATGTGATATTCCGTTTCTCTTAAGGTTTCCACAGGTACAGCGCCAGAATTCCAAAACCAAATCTTTGTACCTTCGAATGAATTTGAAGGTTTTATTTAAATTGCAGTATATACATCTCTGGCTTTATACATAATCAGCAATACATATATTACTTTCATTGAAACCTTAAACGTCGATACAGACGGCTTTTACCGTCCGGCATCACCCAGTAACGTGTTTTCTGTTTATAAAACGTTGAATTATTCGAAACATTAAGTTAGTTTAACGCTTCTTCATAGATTGCGTTAGCCGCATTTGGTACAATTTTTCATAGTTTTCTGTAATTGAATCTCTTCAACTTCGTATTTAATTTGGCCTCCAAATAGTTTTGATTGTAGTGTCACCAATGAGTCTCATGTAGATAAAACGCGCGTTGAGATGTGTAAATTATGAACCTGGTATCTTCCGACTTTTGTTTATATTCGTCTGTATGAATAGAGCTATGTTGAAGCTGCATTTGTCTGTCCGTCCGATTGTTTACTCAACTAGTCATTCCGTCAACCATTCCTGAGTAATAAATTAATTTCGATAAGCAGTCTGCCTGTAATGACTTGTTACATTTCAATTCGTTTTAAATGTGTTAGTCATGTACGTCCTGTTTGACGATGCTTTTAGATTTTTAATATTTTGAAAAAAATACATATTTCGTCCTTCTTTTGGATGACCAATAGGCAGAGAATGACTCCACATTTAATCAGCAGCCTAACATTTACAGTTGGGTTGTGTGAACATGTTTTTGAATCTATTAGATACACTACTTCATCTTTGCATTGTTCAAAATGCTGAATGAAAATTAACATTTTCGTTACGTTTTACCAAGTCAGGAATATGACAGTCGTTTTCCATTGGTTTGATATGTTTGAGCTTTTGATTTTGCCATTTGATCATGGACTTTCCGTTTTGAATTTTCCATGGAGTTCGTTACTTTTTTCATTTTACACTTCACTACGAAAGTACAAGACAGAAAGATTTATATTTTTATCTATCAGCTTGAAAGTAATCAGTTGTGGCCTGGGATCACTTTTCAGACTGGATTATTCAGACACAAATGTCCTTTTTCCGGATACTTTTAAATGTTGAATATGTCGAATGAAAACAAATATATTTGATACACTTTTCTGATAAATTATCGAACAGAATAACCTCATATATAATCAGCAGCTTAACAGTGACGAAATGTGACTTGTGAGCTCGTTTTTGATCAGTCATCTACTAACTGTTTCCATACTTTTGAATACATGTCACGGTGTGCTAACACCTTACTTACTAAGTTTATATTAATTATTATAAGTCATAAAAGATGATATTGTGTAATTACTTTCAGCATTTTCTTTTTATAGAAATTAATAGTTATTTTACTGTATAAATAAACAATATAACTAACAAAATTGAATGTCAATAACGGAGAAGATTCACATAACTCAAATTGACTTCAAATAATCACATGGGCATTACTATTCATGTTTTAAATTTACCTGACAGTCCATAGTAAAATTAGCATATACATTTATAGCTTGTATATATGTCTTAACATACAGATATAACTTAAAAGATGGCGACGAAACTGATTATAGACGTTGACACTGGCGTTGATGATTCAGAAGCAATCATGCTTGCTCTTTCAAGATCTAACGTAGAGATTTTGGCCATCACGTGTGTAAATGGTAATGTTGCTATTGACAACGTATGTAAAAATACTCTGAGAGTTCTGAAAGTTTGTGGTCGACTAGATGTAAGTTTAATTTCACTTCAACTAGTACTCTAAAATTTGTTGTTTCCGATATTTGTAAAACAGTCACATGTCAATAGTTTCCTAATTGCCACCGGTCGTTTTAGAAAGAGTGATTCCAGATCATGCATAATGAACAGTTATTACGCGTCTTGCGTATTAAATTTTAAACCTGGTACCTTTTGTTAGCTATTATTCGTATCTTTCTCTGTCCTATATGTTCTCCCATTTATTTGTATTGTAGTCCTGTCATGTAATGTTGTCATTTTAATGTTATATTTAACATTGCCATAAAAGCGGGAGGTTTGGCTAGCCACAAAACCAGGTCCAACCCTCCATTTTTTTCTTAAAATGTCCTGTACCAAGTCAGGAAAATGGCCATTGTTACATTATAGTTCGTTTCTGTGTGTGTTACATTTTAATGTTGTGTTTCTGTTGTGTCGTAGTTCTCCTCTTATATTTGATGTGTTTCCCTCAGTTTTAGTTTGTAACCCGGATTTGTTTTTTCTCAATCGATTTATGAATTTCGAACAGCGGTATACTACTGTTGCCTTTATATATTTTCCATTTTCACGAGAATTTTTAAAGGAAATGAAAATAACACTTTATAGCTTTCGTGCGTCCGGAACTTTTCTAGTTTTTACCTTCATCAAGAACGCTCAAACCCAAACAGCAGAAAGCCAAGGATGTATACACAAACAGCAGAAAGCCAAGGATGTATACATGAACAACAGAAAGCCAAGGATGTATACATGAACAGCAGAAAGTCAAGGATGTATACATGAACAGCAGAAAACCAAGGATGTATACATGAACAGCAGAAAGCCAAGGATGTATACATGAACAGCAGAAAGTCAAGGATGTATACATGAACAGCAGAAAGCCAAGGATGTATACATGAATACTTGTCGATATATATATATGAACAAACGAAACTATAGATTAAGTCCTCTTTCTTGTATAGAAATGAATAAATATGATATTTTCTCTGCCCTTGAATTTTATAAAAAAAGTAAAATATACATAAGAATACTACTATATATCAAATAAATACATGTATCAAATTTATCATTCTTTGACAACATTGTTAACATTATGATTTATGAAAAATGTTAGTTAAGGGTATCGTAGGAAATATATTTTTTTTCTTCAAAGGTTCCGGTTTATAAGGGAGCGTGTAGGTCAATGGTAGGCACCAAAAAGCACGCAGAGGCACATGGCGATGACGGACAAGGTGACGTGATGAACCCGGAACCTGTTGACATGTCTCTAATGCAACCAGAACATGCAGTGAATGCTATCTTGAGAATTACTGATGAGAACCCTGGTATATATTACCTCTTACAGTACGAAAATATGGGAATATCAACCACATTCAGGAACGTACTATCGTTCTTGACTGTTGATGTAAACCATAAACATATATGAATTTTTACACATGTTGGCCCTCGTACCTTTGATGTTTTTATCGTTCTAATAAAGATGACAACGGTTAAATATATCATACTCAGCAAAATAATTATGTTCAACTTTTATTAATTAAAAATAAATTGTTACCATTCGATGTTTTGAGTAATAGTATCATATACGATTGTTTGTTTGTTATTATTTAACATCATTTTTAGTAACCATGGCTTTATCACAACTGTCAGTTTGTGGAGGTAACCGAGGTACATGACTTCCGACATAAAAACCGAAAATCCTTGTCAATTAAGATCGGATTCAATCACAGCTCTCTGCGAGCGGGGTTCGGACACACAATCACACGCATCGTATTACGTAGCAGTAAATCTGCCATAACGATTTCTTTTTTAAAATTGTTTAGTGGAATCGGGAACTAATTCGTTCAGGTAAATTTCTACTTGAAAGTTTTGCCAATTCTTCTTAGACGTATCTATATTACAAAAGTCTATATGCATTGATCCAATGTTACCTTAGAACTTAATCTGGGAAAATGTCACATGTACGTTTGAAAGCTTACTCAAATCTACCCAAAATTCAATGTTGTTATCTGATTTAAATTTTAAGGTGAAATAACCCTGATAGCTCTGGCGCCGTTAACAAATGTTGCTTTGGCTTTACGTCTTGATCCAGATTTTGGCAGAAAATTAAAAGAAGTATTTATAATGGGAGGAAACATTGAAGGTAAGTGCATACTGCTAAATGAAAATAACATGTTATACATTTCTTACATCCAAATCGCTTTTCTAAGATATATCGTTGTACATACCTTACTCAATATAAAACATTATAATAACTTGATAGAATCCGATCAGATATATTTTTCTAGTATTGTCAGGTCTCAATAAAATCTATACCTATCAGATATTTAGGTAACATTCATGTACGTTTCGTTACGTTCCAGCAACAATCTTGCAAGTATAAATCCGAACATTCGAAAATCAAAAATGTTATAGTTTGTGTTTAATTTAGGAAGTCTTTAGAATTAAGAATCAGATAAAAACTGTATAACAATTGTAATAAGTGACAACAAGTGATACTGAGCACCATGTCATTAAAAGAAAGGCGAAGATACCAAAGGGACATTCCAATTAATAAGTCGAAAACAAACTGACAACGCCATGGCTAAAAAAGAAAAAGACCAAAGGACAAACAACAGTACACAAAACACAACATAGAAAACTAAAGACTGAGCAACACTAATCTTACCAAAAACTAGGGGTCTAAACAGACGAGTTCCTTGTTTTTCTGTAAACATTAGCCTGTAAAAAAAATTAAAGATAAAATGTAGAAAGAGAACGACTGTTGTGCCACATGTGGAAGAGGATCTGCTTATCCTTCGGGAGCACATGAGATCACCCACGTTTTTTTTGTGGGGTTCGTGTTGCTCAGTTTTTTGTTTGCTATTATGTGTTTTTTGTACTGTTGTTTGCCATGAAAGTTTGTTTTTGACTTATGAGATTGAATATTCCTTTGGTATCTTTCGCCCCTCTCTTGTCAAGAGTTTGTAGTAATAAGCTTTACTTTTTTTCGTGGCTATAGGTTTTTAAATTTTATAGTAATAGGACGATCATTTTGTGATAGATCATCGGACATTAGCAATAGTCGTGCTATTTTTGATTACTATAACGGTGAAAAGTAAAATAACAATAATACGAACTCCAAGGAAAATTCAAAAGTCCCTTATCAAAAATTCAAAAATCAAAAATCAAAATTTCAAACGAATGGTAAACAACTTTCATATTCCTGACTTGGTACGGACATTTCCTTATTAGAAAATGGTAGATTAAACCTGGTTTTATAGCTAGTTAAACCTCTCACTTGTATGACAGTCGCATATTACACCCTAATCTAGAATTTTTTGGCTAAATTGCATTTGCCTAATCCGTCTGTCCTTTCGTCAAAACTAAGGTCTTTCTGTTTGTCAGTCCGTTCTTATGTTCTTTCAACAAATAATTCCTTCACACTTTTCTAAATTACTTCTAAGCAGAAGGACTTCATATTTTGTTTGAAGCTCTGTATTGTATGAACGCTTTTCGGATCTGCCAAATATCTACTTCCTGATTTTTGGTTTTTGGGATTTTTTGATATGTCTTGTATGTTTAATGAACTTAAGATTGTTCGTCACACATATCGCCAGTACAACGGAAGAGCAACTTGGTTGATACGAGCACCAACATGTCAACGCTTTCGTGGTCTATTTTTTAATAATACCAATACAAAGTAAAGAAATACTACAATCGTTATACATTTGTACCAAGTCAGGAATATGACAGTTGTTGTCCATTCGTTTGATGTGTTTTGTCATTTGATTTTGCCATGTGATTAGGGACTTTCCGATTGAATTTTCCTCGGAGTTCAGTATTTTTGTGATTTTACTTTTTACTAAAACCAAGTCGATGTCAAGTTTCTTCCTAGAAGAAACTTTACTGCTGGTGGATTATTCCCCGAGGGCATCATTAACTTGGTAGCTTTATGCATGATGAATACAAATAATACAAAGAACAAACCGGCTGGGACGTCGCCCGGGTTACCAAGGTCCCCTTTTGCTGCACGGAACACTGTAGCATTTGATTTGTGTGTTCCACGGAATATCCTCCGGGATACCCCTGATTTGACTTATGTTCAGCCAGAAGGTAATTACTATTTTAAAAATTCAGATACTTTTCATAAATTAAAGCCATGTTGCGTCAATATTTTCGACTGTTTAAAGACACCTGCTACAAGTGAATCAACACCTATCATTTCTTCTTGTAAACATAAAAAAGGAAAAAGGAGCACGTGTAAGACATGTGATATGTTAATCACGACTCCTGATTTTACTAGTAATTTAACATCTAAAACATATTATACTAAATCTTTCGAGCCTCTGGACTGTTCCACGGACAATGTCGTGTACGGAATAGAATGTACTTTGTGTGGACTACTTTATGTTGGTGAAACTCGTCAAACTTTGCGTAAAAGAATGAATCAACACCGGTCTGATAATAAAGATCCGCAATTTAGGGTTCTTTATAACCATTTTAATCAACCGGACCATGATCCTTCTTTATCTATGAAAGTACGCATCATCGAGAAAATTTATCACCACACAAATAGCCCTGTACTAAGTACTCCTTTCCGCAAAGATAGAGAAAATTTCTGGATAAGGGAATTAGGGACTGCAATGCCATATGGTTGCAATGATAATGTCAAAGGAGTAGGAAATTTGTCCAGTCCTGCCTGCAGTGATGTTAATGTAATGAGTTTATTTAATACTACCTTACGACAGCAACGTAGTCATGGGCAAAAACATTACCATCGGCCTAATGTAAAAAAGTCATCAAAATCTAGATCGCCCTCTGGGAGCTTTGATGACCTTCTTTCACATCTTCATCATCCACTAGGGTTACATTACATTAGAACTATTCTTTTTTCACTGCCTGTTAATTTTCTTAAATGTTTGAGAGATTATGCACTTGACAAAGGATGCATCGATACATTTTCTCCAATATACAGACTAGTCAGTATTATTTGTGATGTAGCTCTTTTCCGTCTTTTCAAACCAGTAAGATCGGAACCTTTACACGAGGAAAAGAGGAAATTCCTTCCTGTTCACTTTACCAATAGAGGGATTGATGCAATCAACATCTGCAACGTTCTACATCACAAGGAGGTAATATCTAAAATTCCTATTTACTTTCAAAATCAGTCTGTTCCTATTGTATCCTACAGTTACACCAAAACCATTGCACCTAAAGTATTTAACTATAAACAAGCATTGCAGGACCTTGACTTAGAACAATACCTCAAAAACCCACCGACATGTGACTGTTCCCACTCGCCTTATAATTACAGCCCCTCTGGTCATGTTATAACTGGGGATCTAAACATAATTCAACATGAAAATCTCCGAAAGGTGATTTCTCATGGTCCTAAGTTTAGAGAACCCCAACACATCAATTGGAACCATAACTTCAAAATAATTATGGATTCCATTGAGGACTACGCCAGAGCATGGGCTAAACGAGAAGAAGTTGAACTGGACACTTTGTCAGAATGGGTCAAAACTATCAGGTCTCTGATAAAACGTCGCATTCATAAGTTGAAAAACTGTGTGAATGATCGACCTAAGTCCGTTTTCAGAGACAAAGAGGCCATGAAATGTCTATCATCTCTTCATGATAAGTATGTTGTTGTTCCTGCGGACAAAGCTTCAAATAATATTGTCTTTATATGTAAATCGTATTACTACGAATGTCTTGTAAAAGAATTAGGAATAAATGAGCACTCAGGTAATCCCACATACAAAGACATATCATTTGACAAGGATGAGATTTTAGCAAATCATAAGTCCTTCATGGCTTCAATGAACATTACATTGAACACCAAATCGGAGGACTTACCTTTTTTGTATTGGATACCTAAGCTCCACAAAATTCCTTACAAACAACGGTACATTGCCGGCTCATCTGCATGTTCCACTAAAGAATTGTCCATTAGATTGACTAAAATTCTGTCCGCAGTGAAAGAGGGTCTTCAGAAATACTGTGAAACTGTTTACTCGCGTAGTGGTATTAACCATATGTGGATTCTTAAAAATTCTAAAGAACTTCTAGATAATTTTAAATCTCGGTCTTTTTCTGAGATTAGTTCTATCAAAACTTTTGATTTTTCAACCCTGTATACCACCATTCCCCATGTGAAATTGAAAAATCGCTTGAAAGAAATAATCCACAATGCCTTTCATCATAAAAATGGTAGCATACGCTATAAATTTATTACTTTGGGATATCATAAGGCATATTTTGTTAATAGTGAACAAAAGGGTAAAACATGCTACACAGAAGAACAAGTGATCAGTATGCTGGAGTTTCTTATCGACAACATATTTGTTGAATTTGGAGGTAGACTTTTTCAACAAATTGTCGGCATTCCTATGGGAACGAACTGTGCGCCTCTCCTTGCCGACCTCTTCTTATTTTCATATGAATCGGAGTTCCTTCAGACACTTGTCAAAAACAAGAAGATCAAAGAAGCCAGATTATTTAATTTCACCTTTAGATATATTGATGATGTTCTTTCCATTAACAATCCGAACTTTTCTGATTGGGTTCCATTAATATATCCCCCAGAACTAGAAATTAAAGAAACAACAGACACGGCTTCCTCCGCCTCATTTTTAGACTTATATCTCGAATTTGACATACACAGTCATCTCAGTACCAGAATCTATGACAAACGAGACGATTTTAATTTTAAAATTATAAATTTCCCCCACCTTAGTAGCAATATACCAACTTCACCTGCATATGGGATATACATTTCCCAACTTATTCGATATTCAAGAGCTTGCAGCTCTTACTCAGACTTTGTAAAACGTCACCAGTGTCTGAGCAGAAAGTTGATGAACCAGGGGTATGTCAAAGAACGTCTCGTCCTTTTTCTAAAAAAGTTCATCGGAAGGTACCAAGACCTTGTTGATAAATATTCCGTATCAACTTCACAAACAATACATGATGGTCTTGAAGTATAGATTCTGCATACTGACGTTGTTTATCATCTTAACAACGTGTAATATTGTTCTTTCATTTGTCTTTGTTCTATTATTAATATTACTTTTACTGTTTGGTTTGTTTTCTGTGATATCCATTTGACGTGGCTAGGTACTTATACATCCCGTCAATGTGTTTGTATTATCTTTA